TAAACTTAATATAGTTAACTGAAAAGTTCATTTTTAAATTAAACTTTATATTTTCGGAATTTATCAAAGGGCTTGGCGATAAGACATATTAGTCTTCTTCTAGCCCCTGCTACCTATATATCTTGTTATTAACATACGGATTGTATGTATTTACACGGCAAAAAATATATATATCATTTGATTCAATTCTATTTAACAAAAGCGTCTCCACAAATCTAGCTGAAAATATAGCATAAATATTTAAATAAATAAGAATGTAGCTTAAACATTTAAATCATAAATCTTTATGCTGACTAGTAAATCATTCACTTAATCGTATAAATTTAACGGTTTTCCGTGTACAGTTTTATCACAGAGCACCATGGAATTGCATTTAACCAGGACGTTCACGCCTCCTCTTTTACCAATGATGCATAAATGACCAAAGACGGTTTTGAACCACAGACCTCTAGTTTTGAAGCCTGAACTCTAACCTTTACACCACGGCTAAAAAAAAAAATTGTTGACTAAATAAAAACAAATTATTTAAAATAAATGACTATAATTTTTTTTTCAAAATTACTTTAAGCTATGTATATATATAGGGGAAGTGAAGGCATAACCGCCAACGTAAAGTTTGGAATAATGTTAGATGAAGATAAAAACAAAATGTGTTTTTTTACTAGTTTATTTCAATAACCTCATCATTAAGCTTTAAATTGATGCAATTAAGAAAAAAATTGAACGGTTTTTGAAAATGTTATTTCACAAAAAGTACAATTAGTGAAAAAAACGGTTTTGCCCCCATTGTCAGGCACAACCGCACCCTCACAAAAATCGTTGGGGGTACACCTTTCATGGTACATTTTCTTTACAATTTTCACAGCTCAGATTATTTGATGATTTTGTTGCATGTTTGCATAATTTGCAGGCATTCTTTATATTTACATTTTGAGTTCTGCTCCAGAAGAGAGTTCTGTCCCAGAAGAGAGTTTTTAGAAAGAACTCAGTTTCATAGCTTGCTTATTAGATTATGCTGATATCAAAAATTATCAGAAAATATATGATCTATAGATAGGTTAGACTGGGGCAGGTTAGCCAATAGGGTTAGATTAGCCCAGTCGAGTTTATTTAAAGACTATGCGTTTTAACGACCTGGGAATCTGGGTAAAAGTCGGTAGTAACTCAGCCCTCTTTTCAAAAGAAATTCATTTATTGGATCATAGATAAAAGTATGGGATCGTTTTTACATATTTTGATTCATCAATGTAAGTTTTAAACCGTTTGTATGACGTTCATCTATGAGGTTGTCGTAGATGTATTTATAATACATTCTTTCCAGTTTAGGATGTTGAATGCTGGATCTTCTTGACTCAATGCATGGGTTTTGTTTGTATTTCTGTTTTTATGACTATGCAACTTATTCTATTATCTCCTAATGAGGCTACAGCTCTGAGGTAGCTCTCTCATTCCATCAACAACTGTAAAATATTAGAATACTAACATTGCCAAGTTGCGTATGGATGGTATCCCTGTTCGTACTTTTAATGTTCATTGTCAAGGCCACAATTTGAGCTCTTTGTTACGACTTTGGGTTTATTAATAATAATGAGGCAAATGCTTGGACTATTAAAAAGTGAACTGAGTACTATCTGTGCTTTGAGTCAAGTTCTTCAAGAAATTTAAATGTGATTAAAGTACCAAAAACTATAAAACTCCAAAAACCCTTGCCATCACCAAGTTCTTTAAATCTATCATTCACTAATACTCGTGGTCTTTGAAGTAATTTTTTTTCTGTTGAGTCTAATCTCTTGCAAAGTTCACTAGACCTACTTGTTCTTTGTGAAACTAATTTGGGTTCGGTGGTCTCATCTTGTGATCTTAGTGTTAATGTTTATCTTACTTTAATTTGTAAAGACTCCAATAGTCACATGCTTGGCCTGGGCATTTACATTCCTAAAAGTTCAACCATTTGTCGGCAAACTAGGTTTGAGTCCACAGACTATTTTTTTTATGTGCTTTCATTTAACATCACTTCACTCTATCGCCTTTCTTTTTGTTCTATTTCGCTTTCCTTCGTCTCAAGACTGCACTCTTCTTGATCTTATTTCTGATTATATTGACCAAACCCTCATTCTTTTCAATGTTATTTCTGATCAAATTATATTATTTCTGATTATATTGACCAAACCCTCATTCTTTTCAATGTTCAAATTATATTATTTCTGATTATATTGACCAAACCCTCATTCTTTTCAATGTTATTTCTGATCAAATTATATTATTTCTGATTATATTGACCAAACCCTCATTCTTTTCAATGTTATTTCTGATCCAATTATATTATTTCTGATTATATTGACCAAACCCTCATTCTTTTCAATGTTATTTCTGATCAAATTATATTATTTCTGATTATATTGACCAAACCCTCATTCTTTTCAATGTTATTTCTGATCAAATTATATTATTTCTGATTATATTGACCAAACCCTCATTCTTTTCAATGTTATTTCTGATCAAATTATATTATTTCTGATTATATTGACCAAACCCTCATTCTTTTCAATGTTATTTCTGATCAAATTATATTATTTCTGATTATATTGCCAAACCCTCATTCTTTTCAATGTTGATCAAATTGACCAAGCTCTTCCTCTTTAACTATCAGCCATATCATGTAGCATCATACTGAATTGCTGGTGTTGCTGGTGACTTTAATGCTCATCATACTGAATGGCTTGGCTCTAGTGTCAGTGACTCTGCAAGCGTTTAGGTCCACAACTTTTGCTTATCTCAATCTCTAATTCAAATAGTCTGCTTTCCAACTTGGTTTACAGAGAATCCGAATTATTTACCTTCTCTACTTGATTTATGTCTTGTTTCTGATCCTAGTCAGTGCTTAATTTCTCCACATTTACCCTTAGACGCTTCTGATTACAATTCGATCTCTCTAAAACTATTATCTCATTCTTCTTCATCATCAGAATCTCCTTATCATTGTACCTCTTACAACTACCTTTTAGATGACTAGGACTCTTTCTGTGATTTTCATCGCAATGGCCTTTGAGTAGAAATCTTTCGTCTTCATATTGAAAAATGTGCTTCTTGCATAACTTCTTGGATTCAGGCTGGCATGGAATCTTTTATTCTCTCTTAACAATTTCAAGTCAATTCTCACTCTTCTCCATGGTTTTCCACACATTGCGCTGCAGCAATTGCCAATCGAAATCATTACTTTCATATCTATTAGCAAAACAATTCTCCAGAAAACAGACGTCTGTTTACTAGGATTCATTGTAAAATTTTTTTGTCTAATACTAAAGCCCGCTATTCTCAGGTCACAAAATCTCTTATTTCATTTTAAGAAATAGGCTCTCATGAAACCTGGAGAACCTTTAACATTATCAATAATAAGGGCAAATCTGTTATACCACCTCTCTTGTTTGATTCAGATTTTGTCACCTCGCCTAAAGGCAAAGATGAATTGTTTGCTAAGAACTTCTTACCAATATCTTCTCTTGATTTCAAAAAGGCATTGCAAACATTGGTTGTCAACCATTATCACATGGTCGTAATGTTGCTCTTTTCTATAAATACTATAATGGGCATTGCTCTAAAGAGCTAGCATCTCTTGTGCCATCTACTAAAATTCATTCTCTTGTTACTTGTCATTCAATTAAGGCTCCTTTAATGTGATTGTTCCTAAGTACTACGAAAATTCTTATTCCTCTAGTTTCTTTCCTCGAACAACCGTTTTTTTGAAATTCGCTTTCTTCATTTTGTTTTCCTGATTCATATAATTGGCAATATTTTAAGTTGTCTGTCAATCGTTATCTTCCTCTATAAACTTAATCTTTTTTCTTCCAGCAATTTCCAACTCTAATAGTAGTTGCTTGCAGCCTTGTTGGAAGTGAAAATGTTAAAAAAAAAAGTTAATTATGTTAGTGTATTCTACAAATAGAGTGCTTAATGTTCTTAAAGAACAGGTCAATAATAATTCAGTAAAAACACTTATCTAATTTTTATGCTCTTCAACAGTATGTTTAACCATCAGTAGGTTCATCAGGAAGCTTCCTACTGATAAACCTACTGATGGTGAAACATGCTGTTGAAGAGCACAAAAATTAAATAAATGTTTTTACTAAATTATATATATATATATATATATATATATATATATATATATATATATATATATATATATATATATATATATATATATATATATATATATATATATATATATATATATATATATATATATATATATATATATATACATATATATATATATATATATATATATATATATATATATATATATATATATATATATATATATATATATATATATATATATATATTATATATATATATATATATATATATATATATATATATATATATATATATATTTTAACAACTTTATACTAACGCAAAATAAGAGGTGACCTGATACAATATTTTAAAGTTTCCAAAAACTTTAATATAGTTAAGTGGCAAAATCATACACTCAGCCCATTAACAATCAATGGCCCAGTTAGTGGTCTATGCGGTGCGAAATTCAAAATCCATAGTAAGTTTACTAGAAATTCAGCCAGACATAATTTTTTATGCAATCGTGTTGTACCTTATCGAAATAGTTTACCAGATTTTGTCATTGATTCAAAGACAGTTGACCAATACAAAAATAATTATGACAAATGGATTAATTCAATTTTTTGTCGGTCTACTATAGCTGGGTCTCGATAGATTCCCAGCTCATAGAAGTTTCAAACTTTTATTGTAGAATAAAAAAAAAAAAAAAAATATATATATATATATATATATATATATATATATATATATATATATATATATATATATATATATATATATATATATATATATATATATATATATACATTCAAATGTAAACAAAACAACTCCCAAAAGATAAAATTGTTTACATATAAAGTTTTATTTTACTAACACCGTTGTTGAAATATGAAACTTTTATTTTTTTTACAATTTTATTAATAAGCTTAAACTAAAAAAACTTATTTGAAGAAATTGTTTTCTTGATATTTTATCATGGCTTCACCATTGGTCAAGACATTAATAATATGTTTTACGGCATTAGTTTATATTATTCATTTAGTGTTTAACAGCTTAGCTGCTAAAGGCGAAACAAACTTATTTCCAATGAGTGCATCCAACGTATCCAGAACATTTCAACTTGAATTAACGCCAACTGGTGCAACATTTACAATATGGGGATTCATTTTTGCGATACAACTTTCTTGGATTATTTACTCTATCACCAGAATATTCAAAAAAAATAACACAATTGATATGTTGTCAACAAAGTTTTATCTTTGTTTCATTGCAAACATTTTGTTTATCACCGTTTGGCTTTTCTCATGGTCTCGCCGAAAAACAATAGAATGTCTTATTTTTATTATTATAGGGCAGCTATGTCTTAATGCTGCGTTTGCTCTTTCATGCATCGATTTGAGAAACTATTTATTAGTTAATAAAGGCAATATAAAAAGTTTTGATATTTGGTGCCAGCGAATTCTCGTTCAAAATGGTCTCTTGTTTTATGCAACCTGGACTACTGTAGCTACATTAATAAATGTTGCCATAGTGCTTTCATACAATGTTAAATTTTCTACTGTAACATCATCATTAATATCATTATCAATTCTTGGAGTTCTTGCTGCTTTTTGGTTTTATCTAGAAAACTTTGTGTTTAGAAAATACACAGAGTACACAGTATCTGCGTATATAAGTCTAATTTATGCTTTGACGGGGGTTTTTTCTAACATTTCAGGTAAAAATGCAGCTGTGGCAGGAACGGTTTTGACTTTATTGCTTTTATCAATTATATTTTTTATAATAAGAGTCTTATTAATAGTCTATAAAAAAAAAAAAGTTTGTAATATAAATAACACAAATTAATGATATTATTGATATAAATAAAGTTGTTATTAAACAACAATGTTATAAATTTGTAACCGCAAAACAACATAACATAGTTAATACCTTCATTTAAAAACTGATTTTCATTTTTTATTGTTTTAAATGTTTTTAACGCAAAAGCCCCAGCTCTAAAGCCCCAGCTCCACTGTCAATGTAACATACTGAAAGTTAAGTATTACTACCAAATTAAACATCTAAACTAAACTTGTGGAACTGATAGTTTTGGAACTATGTTTGGTGCTGATTGGCTAACTTGGTGATAATTTTGGAAAAATAATTAGAGCAGTCGGAGAATAATTGATTACAAAATCTTAGCGGCAAAACTTAATAAAGAATGGGATTATATCCAACAATTTATTTGCTAACTTATTTTTTATTATATACTTTATGTGTTGTGTCGTACCATGTTTTTAAAGTCGATATATTAAATCTGTTTTTCATATTATTGATTTTTTTGAACATCTTTTAGAATTTGTGTGAGTATAAACTCCTAGATAATCAGTAGTTGCATAAATATATAAAAATTCTTTATTACCAATACTTGTGTAAATATTAACTTTTTGTTAAAAAGAACTTTGATGTATTAACTTTCTCTTATAATAATATTGCACATCGGATAAACAGACTCAGCTTATTCGTGAAAATTAAAAAACAAAAAAAGATTTCTTATTCTAAAGTAATAAACAAGTTATAAAAGTATTGAGAATTTAAGAAAATTTCCTTACTTTATGTTTTAATCCTAAGTTTGATATCCCTCAACCTATTAACAGACGTGGCGCAGTGGTTAGAGTTCTAGCTTAGAAGCAAAAGGTCCGAGGTTCGACACCGTCTCTAGCTCAATAAGCAACATTAGTAAGGAAGGAGGCGTGAACTTCCTATTTAAATGCTCATACGTGGTGCTCTGTGATAATACCATAAGAATATCCTTAATAACCGTTAGGGTCAGGGTGATCCTAACCCTGGCAAAAATGTTGGTCAATAACGGAAGCTACTTCGGATTAGTCTTATTGACTATTTGAAGCTGTCCCTATGCTAAGCCAAAAATATCTACGAATAAAAGAATATTGTATAGAAAAGTATAGCATGAAAATTCAAATAAATAAATAAATAAAAATAAAAAAAACAATAAATAGCCATCAAAAAAAGTAAATTACTATGATCTCCAAATAGGAGCGGCCTTGATCTTATTTGAGTCATATTAGTTGTTTAACTATTATACATCTAAATAACTGATAATGTTGTAGTATGTATTACATCATTAACAATTACAAAAATTGTAAAACATAAAAAAATATTAAAATAGTTAAAAGAATGGCTTATAATTTTTTATTTTATGGCTTGTTCAAGCCATAAAACATAATATAATTACAAATTTATATTAAAATAATATTTAATAAAAAATAATTTAAGTATCACCAAGCACCTTAATCTTAAATATAAAATAACAAAAATAAAAAAAACACTTAACATTTTAAAAAGTTTTTATAAATAAAAGATTTTATAAATATAAATCATAGGTCCGAATGTCCTACTTTAAATTTTTGTTTTTGTGTAAAAATATTTAGTATAATAAAACTATATCATTAAAAAGTATGCAGACAAATGCACATCATCCTAGAGCTTTCCGTTTAAACCAGGATATACCTTAAAATACCTCGAGAATTTTTATAAATCATTTTTATAAATAAAAAATGTTTTAATAATATAAGAACAGAAGCAATAACAAGTGACACGTGATAGACACGTGATTCTTTCTAAGATGGCCAAGCTGATAATGACGTCCAATCGTTGGCATGTTTATTTATGCTTCTTGGGATTCAACGCCATGTTGAATCTATTATGATGTCATTCTAATTACAGTTTCAAAATATTTATAGAGATCAGAGTTTAATATCCATTATGTTTATCAAGCTTTAACTTGAAGATTTTTACTCTATTGGCGGAAATGATTTCTTCTGGTAGTTTATTCCACCATTTTGCAACTCTGTCAGAAAATTTTCCTTTGATCTATTCATTTTTATCAGCTCAATATCTACGCGTGTTTTATGTCCTCTAATGTTTGCAGCTGGGCCATTTGCTGAAATAGAAATTGCTGTTTTTGGTTGTTGATACCAAAACACTTTGTCAAAATTATGAAAGGTTTTATAATATTGAATTAAATCATCTTATTCTCCTGGTTTTTAAGGAAGTCAGTTGGATTTTTTTAACCTTACTTCATAGGGTAGGTATCTTAATTCCGGAATCAATTTAGTTGCTCGTTGCTGAACACTTTTTAAATTATGTATATCATTTTTGTTATATGGGTTCCATATTGGTGATGCATATTCAAGAATAGGTCTTGCAAAAGTGCAGTACAAAATCTTTATTATGTTTTTGTCTTTGTAAGTAAATGATTTGGTTAATTGACCTAATCGACTATTTGCTTTATATACAACCATATTTATATGGTGATTTTACTTCATAGTATTTGAAATTGACCAATGTCTTTTTCATTAGTTGTTGAATCTAATTTCGAATCTTTTATATCGTTTTGCAAGCTTTTCAAGTCTACCTGGTTGTTAACTACAGCAATAATTTTGGTATCATCTGCATAACGTTTGCATATATTATTAATTTTAGAGGTTAAGTCATTGATATATAACAAGAACAATAATGGTCCAAGTTAGAACCTTGTGGAACACTGCTAAGAACCTCTAACCATCCAGATTTTGTGTCGCCAATTATAAAGCGTTGTTTTCTATTTAATAAATATGCTTCTATCCAATTTAACATTTCATTTTCTATACCATAACCACTTAATTTTGATATTATCTCTTATGAGGTACTCGATCAAATGCTTTTTGAAAATCGGTATATAAAATGTCTACTGAATTGCCTATCATTAGTTGGAATGTTATTTGCCTATCATTAGTTGGAATGTTATTGGAATAAATTTGTTTTACAATTTTTACCTTTTAAGAAGCCATGTTGTTGATTACTTAAAAGACTATTCGATTCTAAATATTTTTTTAAGCTATTACTTATAATTTTTTCTAATACTTTTCGAGGTACGGATGTCAAAGATACTGGTCGATAATTTATTGCTTGCATTTTACTTCCATTTTTAATTATGAAACTTACATTAGCCATTTTCCAGAGATCAGGAAGATTACTATTTATTAAACTTTGTTGATAGATGATTGAAAGTGGTATTGAAAAACTTTCAGAGTAAACTTTTAACAAATAAGGATTTACTTCGTCATACCCACTAGTCTTGTTAATGTCAAATTTTGACAAATATGATTTTACAAGTGTTTGATCAACAACTATTTTTCCAAACTTGCTATTTGTTCGTACTTCAAAATTTCAATAATTTGTATTTTCTTCTTTTATGTAAACAGAATGAAAAAAATTGTTCAATATATCAACAATACTAGGTTTGTCATACATCGTTGAGCCAGTATTATCATTAAGTGCTCTTATATGATTTTTTACTTATATGATTTTTTACTTGCTTTTTTCTAATATATGAATATAGTAATTTATGTACATTTTTACCTGATTTACCAAGTTTCGTTCGTAATTTTTAACAGAGTTATTTATTTGCTTTAGAATGTTTCTTTTCATTTTATTATATTTTTCTTTTGAACCAGCTATGGACCAGTTCATTTTTTTATTTGTTGCCTAATAATTATTTTTGTACTTGATTTCTTTTCTCAAACTATTTGACAAACTTTACTTGCTTTATTTTTTATACAATAGATATATAATTCTTGCGTGCTTGATTGTAATGATATGAAAATCATAACATTTGTTAATGCATGTGTTTTGAAATTCGTCAGCTCAATTTGTGCTTTTTATATAAATATTAATTTTTCATAGTTTCCTCTACGATGTGCAAATTTCTTAGTTGATGAAGAGAAATCATCTTTTCGTTTTAAAAAACCATTTTAGAATATGATGTCCTTTACTACTCAAACCAAGTGGTGGCAAATGAGATAAACCAAAAATGCGGTTACTATCATCAACAATAACTAGATCAAGTATATTTGTTAACTCGTTTTCATTGATTTGAAATTTTGCTTCAGTTACACATTGTTTGAAAAAACAGTTATTTAAACATGCTAGAAAATCTTTAGCTTGTTGGTTATGTAATTCTACAATACTGTCTTACCACTTTAAAGTGTTGTAGTTAAAGTCACCATTATACTAGTTACTATTTAATAAATGTCTATCATTAGAAATCTCTGTTATATTCTTTAAATTTTTATATAGTACATTTTTTGGAGATATCTGATGACATGGTTGTGCTGTTTCATATAGCTCTTTTTTTAACAGTTCTACAACCCGTTCGTTTCTAATTCCATAATAGTATTTTAGGTCTTGGTTAGCTTCATCAGTAGAAAGTAATACACACACACACACACTCACATATATATATATATATATATATATATATATATATATATATATATATATATATATATATATATATATATATATATATATATATATATATATATATATATATATATATATATATATGTATATATGTATCTGTGTGTTTAAAACTGAGGGAAACTGACATAACGAATGAAATAAAACTAAGGGAAACTAACATAACGAATGAAGTAAACTGAGGGAAACTAACATAACGAATGAAATAAAACTGAGGGAAACTAACATAATAGATAAACTAGAAACTAACATAATAGAATAATAGATACCCATTATAAAAAAATTCTCAAGGAAGATGTTTCAGTGAACCTTTTTTTACCGACAAAATAAAAAATGGTGAAAAAGAATTAAGAAATTGATTTTAATATTCTAACTTGATAGGAAAAAGTTACTGTTTCTGTTGTCGTTTGTTTTCATCGATAAAAATAAGCTTAACTTCAAGTGGATTTTCTGATTATACCCATACAGAAATACGGTTATCTGAACATGAATCTTTAAAGAAACATCTTGAATCAGGCGAATCATGGCGAATTCTAGAACTTAACATTAATTACAGAATGGAAGAAAATATGATGATGTGTTCAATTAAGAAAAACCTAGATGGCGAATAATTTTAAAATGTATTGTAAAAGCGGTATT